CCCCGACACTGCCCGCACAGCCCCTGCCACTGCCCCTGCAGTAGCCTCCGACACAGCCCGCTCACGCCACTCCTTGCACAGCTTCTGGATCAAACACACCGTGGACTGAGGCGTGGGCACCTGCCTCTCCCAAACCGCCTTATTGCGTGCTTTCCAGATCGCCCAAACCCCGCGATGACTAGACGAAGTTCAAGCAATGAAAACCTGTCAAACAGATGCATCATCCACGCATTGAAATACAGCCCTACAGGCCAAGTTGATTCCAAACCATTTTCGAGAACGGGCAAACAACAAAAATATGATCAATATTTTCACCCGGAGTCCCACACAAGGGGCAAAGGTTGTCCAGGGCCATACCTTTAGAATTAAGAGAAGAGATGGTCGGAAGAATGTCCCGAAGAGCTCGCCACAAACAGATCTTGAGCTTTGGTGCCACTGGAACCCGCCAAAGTTGACGCCACTTTTAAAAACCCGGACAAACTGTAAACTCCCCAACCAAACGCAGATAACCTTCTTTCACCGAATAAGCTCCCCGGGACAGGCCTTCCCAGTACCAGTTATCATCACTGATGGTGCCCAAAGGTAGTGCAAGAATGCGTTGCACATCAATAGGCAAGAACCATTCCTGCACCACTTCCTCCTTCTAATGACCCGAACCAGACTCATTTAGAAATTCCACTTGGAGGTTGGGCATAAACGGTGGTCTCTCCGTAAGGATACAAGGTTGTTGAGAATCATTAAGCCAAGGACTACCCCATATTAGAGTGTCCCGACCATTACCGACCCTACGACGGATACCCTCCAAAAGCAGTGATTGAGACTCCAAAATGCTTCGCCAACAAGAACTAGGATTAGCCCCCAAATGAGCCTCCAAAAATGAAGACGTAGGAAAGTACCTTGCTTTAAAAACCCGAGAGACAAGTGCCTCAGGTCGGGTAAGAAACCTCCACCCCTATTTTCCCAGCATCGCCACATTAAAAGCTCTCACCTGTTTAAAGCCCAAACCACCAAAATTCTTTGGTACTGCCATCCTTGTCCAAGACATCCAACGGATCCCTTTAAAATTTTGCCCTTTCCCACCCCACCAAAAGGAGTTCATAAGCTTTTCAATACTCTGAAAAAGTTGAGATGGTAACAAAAAAACACTCATAGAAAACTGAGGCATAGCTTACGCAACTGTCTTCAGCAGAATTTCCTTTCCGGCCTTCGAGAGAAGTTTCTTTGACCACCCACTCATCCGCACACGAATCTTTTCATGGATATATGAAAACACATCAGCTTTATTTCTTCCCAGGAAAGGGGGGAGACCTAGATATTTACCAAAATCGGAAGCTTGCTCCACATCAAAAAATTGAGATAAAAAGTCTCTTGTCAGAGTGGGGATGTTGCAACTAAAACAAATGCTGGATTTTCTATAGTTAACAACCTGCCCGGACAACCTCTCATACTCCGATAAGAAACTCTTGACCACCACAGCCTCCTCCAGTGTTGCCTTAAAAAACAAAAGACTATCATCCGCAAAAAGAAGGTGCAAGACTGGGGGAGCTCTTCTAGCAACCCGAATCCCGTGGAGCACACATTCACTGACCTTGTTCTGCAGCATTAAGGATAAGCCCTCCGCACAAAGAATAAAAACATAAGGGCCCAATGGGTCACCCTGTCGCAGTCCCCTCATAGGAAGGATCGGTTCTGAAAGATCACCATTAATAAGCACCTGATACCGAACGGTGGAGACACATAACATAACTAGGTTGATCCATTCCTCATCAAAGCCAAGTTTTCCCATCATAGTTCGCAGAAATGGCCACTCTATACAATAATAAGCTTTAGCCATATCCAACTTCAAGCCCACCCAACCCGTCAAGCGTTTCCTCTTCCTACGCAAAAAATGCCCCATCTCGGCCACCAACAAAATATTATCTGAGATGAGACGGCCCGGAAGGAAAGCGGACTGACTTTCAGAAATGATTTGCTAGAGTATAGGTTTTAACCGGTTTGCCAACATTTTTGCCACAACCTTATACATGATATTGCATAACGCAATGGGACGGAGATCGCCCACAACCTGTGGCGCCTGTTTCATTGGAATAAGGACCAGCGTGGCATCATTCATTCCCAGAGGGAACAAAACTCGACGAATACATTCCAGAACAGCCCTCGTCAGGTCCTGTCCCACCACTCCCCAATTCTTCTGAAAAAAGCAAGATTCATCCCATCAGGCCCAGGCGCTTTGTCCGGCTGCATAGAAAAAATAGTCTGCTTAACTTCCTCCTCACCAAACTGAGCCAGCAACCCTTCATTTTGTTCTCTCAAAACCCTCGGGACAATGGAGTCAAAAAACGAGGAGTCAGCAACCCCTGAGACGTAAAGATGTCCTTAAAATACTTAGTAATCAAAGCTTTTAAAGAATTCCCAGCATGCCAGACTCCATCCGAACCCTTAAGCCCATGAATAAAATTCTTTTGCTTACAGTGAGATGCATATTGGTGGAAATAACCGGGTATTAGCATCACCAGAATTCAGCCAGTGTTGCTTCGCCCTTTGTCGCTAATACAGATCCTCTTGGTGCCTTAAACAGGCTAGCTCCTTCTCAGCACGATTAAGAGCTAAAAGACTCTGGTCATCACGCTTCCCCCTGATACCACCAATCAATTTTTCCAGTTCTTTACGCCTTTTACCAAAATGTTGGAATTTATCCCCTCCCCAACGCATCAGTCTCTTCCCACAAGCATCCAGTCTATTTGAGAAAGGCTCCCTAGTGGAATCACGCCAAGCCTTTGTCAGGACATCTTTAAAGCCAGTATCAGGCATCCAAGCATTTTCAAACCAAAATCTCCTAACCCTGTGCACTCGAACTGCACGGTCAAGACCTAAATGTAACGCTGCATGATAAGAAGTTTTCATGAAGTTGTTGAACACACAGGCTTGTGTAAACAAATCCCTTCACGCCCCAGAGACCACGACACAATCAAGTCGTTCCTCAACCCAATTATGTGAACCACGACCTCGTTCCCAAGTGAAGGGATAACCAATCATTCCTAAATAAAAAAGACCGCAATCTTCAAGAGCTTGATTGAACCCTGATATAAGCGAAATCGGATGAGGGCAGCCCCCCTTCTTCTCTCTAACCGCACACATATCATTAAAGTCACCCATAACAGCCCAAGGTAACGAGGAATGATGTTTAAGAGACCGAAGAAGATCCCAAGAGATGCCACGCTGATCCCTTTTAGGGTTACCATAGAATCCAGTGAATCTCCAAGGTACAGCATTCTGAAGAGAGACAACAATATCAATATGATATCTAGAGTGGCTAATGAGATTAGCCGTACAATTCTCCTTCCATAGAAGCGCCAGCCCACCACTCAACCTGACACTGTCCACAACAAAGAGTCCCTCAAAACCAATCTTGACCTTCAGCTCTTCCGCATTTCCTCACGCACCTTTAGTTTCCAAAAGAAAAATAAAGTCGGGCTTCTTTGCAGACACAAGGTTTACCAACTCCTGAACTGTCCGCCGGTTGCCCAACCCACGGTAGTTCCAACTTAGGATACTCATTATCCCCGGCGGTCCTGGAAGCTAGAACCCGCCGCTTGCAAGTTTTTTGAACCATCCATCATAGAGATATCCAAGTCTCTTCCCAACATAGCACCACCCTCCGTACCCCTCTTCCTCTTTGCCACAACTTCAAGTTCTACCTCCTCCTCCGGTATAACTTTTTGCACGAGTGAAGAGGTTCCAACCTGCTTCCCACACCCCACCCAAGGGTCCTGAAACCGAAGCCATGGCAAACCAAGACCAGGCTCCTTTTTCCTGCCACCAGCCCTTAGGGACGCATCAAACGGGTAATCCTCTGGTTCTAAAGAAGACAGAACTGCCCCTCTACAGTGCTTTGCAAGATGTCCCATGACGCCGCAAAAGAAGCAAAAGGTATTGAGACGCTCGTACTGTTGGAATGCATGAGTTCAACCCTTTCTGTGTTGTTAAATGTTGACTCACAGGTTTTGATAATTGACAAACACAATTTATTCAAGTCAAGATCAAAGTGCTACAACGACAAACACGAAGACTTGAAGTGCCATTCCTTGAAGTATTCAAGAAGGTGCACATGATTTTATTGGAGTCCGAGACGCGTTCGGAGCGCCTAACGGAGGACTCGGAGGAGTAGAAGATTTCCGAAGACTTTTTATTTATTTGAGTCTTAGGAATTATTGTAAGGATGACAAAAATATCTTTTCTCCAAAATTATTTTTATGAGAGTTAAAATAAAAATTATATTTATTTTTGGAGTCAGTTGAAAAATCTTTTTAACTGTTCAAAATAGTTTTATTAAGTCAGTTACAAAAGGTGTGTCAAACATTTATCAAATATTTATTTTGGTATTATAAAATATTTTTGGTAAGCAAAAATATTTCATTCAAATATTTTTCGTGTACATCGTTTGACACACAAAATAATTTTTGGACTCACTTTTTACTCCTTTATTCAAATTCATTGAACAAGGGAATGAGCGTTCTCTGATTCCCGGTTGTCTCAAACAACGAGTGTTACGACATTTGTGCTCTCAATCGCAACTGGCTTGGGCCCTTTGTGTTTTGCGCGTTATTTTTTTGTAATCAATTATATTTCTCTGTTTCGCATTCCATTAATCGATTATTCCTCTTGTTTTAATCGATTAGTCCTCTCAGAGCCTTCTAATCGATTAACCCCTTTGCATTAATCGATTATTTCCGCGCTGAAGGAACTCTGCACAGACTGCATTAATCGATTATTGACACTGCATTAATCGATTATTATGCTGCATTTTTCATCCCAGCTTCTTTTCTTGGACCAACAGATATATTTCTTCACCTCCTATTTAAACACACTTCTTTGGTCATTTTTCATAACAAGAAACACTCCAATACTCCCCATTCTTGAGGTGTTAATCCTCCATCAATCCTTCCTCAAATTTATATTATTTTAAGAGAAAATTATATTTTGAAGAGAGGTTTCTTGTCACCCATTAGAGCTTTAATCATTTCTCATTTCTACTCTTTTGAGAGTTTATGTTGAGAGGTTGAAGAAGATTGTTCTTCTTGTTGTTCAAGACTTATGTGACTTAAGTCTTGGTTGTGAAGTCTTGTAGAGGGAATATCTACGAGCGGTTGTGTCGAGGCTTGTGGGATTCAAGTTCTCGAGTTGTAAATGGTTTGTTAAGCACCCGTAAGCTTAACGGAAGTAATGGTAGCTTCGAGAGAGTCCCTCGGGGAACTGGACTAGCCACGAGATGGTGAACCAGTATACATCAGTGTGTTCTTTGCCTTCTCTCTTTTATTTCCGCTGCACTTACGTTTATATTATTAATCCTGCGAAAATCGGTAATCATTCTCAACAACTCTATTCACCCCCCCTCTAGAGTTGCACACATTGTCTAACAATTGGTATCGGAGCGGGTATCTCTAACGCTCCTTGTGACGTTTGAGAAAACGATCAATTTTTTTTGAGAATGTTGAACACAGGGGTAGGAGAAGGGCAATTCACCATAAGGCCGCCATTTTTTGATGGAACGAATTACTCTTATTGGAAGGAGCGTATGAGAATTTTTGTTCAATCTAATAACTTCAAAATTTGGCTTGCTATCAAGAATGCAGATAGCTTGCCAATGAAGAAGATAGGCGATACACTCATCCCTAAGGACGAGGATGAATATGATGAAGCCGATCTTAAGAAGGCTCAATTGAATGCCACCGCCATCAACTTCTTGTATTGTGCTGTCAACACCAACGATTATCAAAAGATATCTCGTTGCCAAACCACCAATCAAATGTGGAACAAGCTCATGATCACATACAAAGGTACGCCTCAAGTTCGTGAATCAAAAATTGATTTACTAACCCATGAATATGAGTTATTTGCTATGAAAGAGAACGAACTTGTGGAGGACATGTTTGGAAGATTTTCAAACATCGTCAACGACCTTGATATGCTTGGAAAGACACTCACCGACAAAGAGTTAGTGAGAAAAATTCTGCGAAGTCTTACCAAGGAATGGGAGTCGAAGGTTAACTCCATTTACGAAGGCCGAGATTACAACGTCATCACATACGACGGTCTTCGAGGTAACCTTATCACTTACGAAACAAATCATCTTTCTCATACTCTTGACGTTAAGAAGAGAACGGGAATTGCTTTTAAAGCATCTTCTT